GAGACAAATGTGGTACGAATCGAAAACATGCCAGAATTCTCCTCAGGAAATTTAATTTATAATGTCAGCATTTTCCAAAGGAGATAACAAAATCTGAAGCGCACTTAAAATTACTTCTGAAAAGCAGCAGGGCCATACAATTTTTAAGAAATGCTCACACAACTCCCTCCATAAAAAAATCTATTTCATAATATCCCAACCTTTTGAAGACCAACTGTACCCCTTTCTTTTTTACATGCACAAAAGCGAAATCAAATAAGCACATATCATGCAAAATAAAATTTTGATTTATTTTTCCTGGTTCCTATTAAAATAAAACATCAACCACACACGGTTTAATACCTGCAATATTGGAAATAATAATATAAATTTTAATATTTATAGATATTAATTTAGGAAATAATCCAATTTCAACAACGGATAGTATCAGATAACGGGAGAACCTCCACAGCTGACCACCCCTCTACACTGACCACCTCCTTATGCTGACCTAATTTTCATAGACTGGACACGCACCACATGTGCATATGGGTAGAGCAGGCCTAGTTTCTTCGGTTGACCACCTCCGTTTGTTGACCAGCTTGTTATATTCCCTTGAGTGGTCGACTTATAGAAGTTTCTCTGTATTTACAGAAAAAACAATCTTGTAATTTATAATCCCACCTGTTTCCTAAAAAGGGTTAAACCAGGAAGTCTGAGAAACAAAAATCCATCTGCTATGTGCTTCCATATTTCTAAGAATGGAAATGTAAGAGTTGGAGCTGAGCAATGATGAATTGTATTATATAACTGAAGGAGCAACGTTTGGACCAAGGCAGTGAACAGCAGAGGTAGAAAGAGCAGAGGACAAGCAGAGCTGATGAGATGCTCCAGAGCCACTTGCCCAAGATGCGTCCCATTCCGTCTCTAACCTCCCAATCTACTAACTCTACTAACTCTACTAACTCCCACAACATTCTTGGTATATGTAAACTTCTTACAGAAACCATATGCTTGAATACAGAGGCAAAAACTACAGGTATCACATGAACCTTTGATAAATAACAGAAATCTATAGAACTGCAGGTAAAACCTGAGTTTTCCTGAAGCTTCGAGGGACAAGTGCCCCAGATGGCAGCTGAATTTCTTTCTTATGAGGGAAATTTTTTCTTTTGGAAGGCTTATAACATAAGGTTATTATGAAGGGGGATGTATGTTAATACTTATGAATTCATTTAAGAGTTCACTAAGAGAATAAGTACTAAGTATATACCAAAGTGTCACAAGATAAAAACCTCTAAATATTAGCACAGGCGCTTGCTCAATACACACAATTTCATTTCAATCACATGGAAAATCAAATTAAGAGAAAATTAAAGATTCAAATTGAAGAAAATACACTGAATTGGAGTAGATTTTCAAAGTTAAATAAAGAAAATTCTACTCTATCCCATCCCTCTGTGGTATTTCCACTGCATTTCCTTACCAAATGATCAAAACCTTATTCACATGCTTTGGAAGAGTCCCGGTAATTTACAGACAGCTTAAACACGTTAAGTATGTATAGATAATTACAGTGTGGTATCTACACAGACTGCTTCAGAGGGGTCTTAGACTTTGAAGTAAAAACTGAATCCTTAAATTGACAAATACTAGTGATATATCCTTTACAAACAGGGTGGGTTACTGAAGGATAAAAGGTTCCCAAAATACACGCATTTTAGTTAGCAAACTAAAAAGTCATTCTAACATTTCATCTGCTAAATATTCTATTTATTATGAGGAATGATTGTGTTCATACACGTAAACCTACTTAGAACACTTGACATTTAATAAGCACTCATTAAAGGTGTGCCAGTAGAAGGTATATTAATAATGGCCTGATTAGAGGTATTACTATTGATACAGGATAGGTAGTGCCCCAGCCAGCTCAGCCCAGCTGGGCTGGAGGACCCGAGGCCTCCACCTCAGAGGTGTTGGTGCGGCAGCAGCCGGCAGAGGAACCAGCAGGCTGAAGCGTAGGCAAGGGGGGTGAGCCTCCCAGCCCCACCGGAGGCTCCAGTAGCCAAAGGAACAGGACAATTGCTGGGGAGACACCTGGCACCTTGGTGTCTCCTTCCCTTTACACTTATGACTAAATACAAACCCCCATTTCCTATGCCTAGGTCAATTTCATGTAATTTTCCTAGGCCTCAGTTCAGTGAATGGACTGTGTCCATTCATTAGTACATTCATTCACCTTGCCCCAGAAGAAGGGACTGTGTCCGTTCATTAGTACACTCATTCCCCTTGCCCCAGCGGAAGGGGCTGTGTCCATTCATTAGTACACTCATTCCCCTTGCCCCAG